CGCAAGTTCGATTGCTTTGATATTACATATATAGGTACTACATGTGGACCTCTCTCAGATTTGTTCATTTTGTGATGATATCTTCAATTCTCTAATTTTGGTGAATATTTTTGTCATTTTTGGTAAAAAGTGATATTTTCGACTTCTTGTTGAAAACTGTAAGTCCGATTGCTTTGATATTACATATATAGGTACTACATGTGGACCTCTCTCAGATTTGTTCGTTTTGTGATGATATCTTCAATTCTCTAATTAATTTATTTTGGTGAATATTTTTGTAATTTTTGGTAAAAAGTGATATTTTCGACTTCTTGTTAAAAACTGTAAGTCCGATTGCTTTGATACTATTCATATTGTTCATTTTCTAATGATGTCTTCACTTCTTTAATTGAAATGTGCATTGCTAACAGCGGAGCTATCTCAGCCGATAGGCTGCTTGTTTTATTTTGCCATATTACTACGACACGAAACGCATGTTTTGATGTAAATAAACAATCTGTTGTATACGCCACTTGGAACTCAAGTTTCAAGGACACGCCCGCGACAACCCCTCCACTTTAATATTACAAGCACAAAGAGAACTTAACGGGGACTGTGTCATTTTCAATGACTTGTTATTTAAGTAATCATTGTTCTGATGTACTGTAAAATATTTTATTTTAGCTGGAATTAATTTTCGCTGAAAAGTCATTTTTGGTGTTTTGTATGGAATTTATTTTCACTGTTTTTGGATCATTCCTTCAGCAAAAATAGCGAAAATAAATTCCAAGTGAAAATAAAGTATTCTACAGTATTCAAAATAGCTAGACGTTTCGGGCAGTGTTATTGAAGAAGGGTTATTGCCTTAAACATCCAGCTATTGAATAGTTGCTTATGGTTAGCAAATTGTCTGCTGTCTATCATATGTTGTAAATTACATTTACAGTTTATAATACAGAACATTGTTGTCTAGGTTACACACCTACTGTAAATTATTCAGATCTCGGACACACATATTTACCCCCAGTAGATGATATTTTATGATGAATAACTTTGAAGAATTACTTTGAAGAATTTTGATTTTGTTTTTTCAATTTTGTTGTTATTTACACAAATTTTGGATTTCCCATGGATGTTTTTAAAATAAAAAAATAGAATGAAGAAAAAAGACTTGAAAACCTAAAATAAATAAAATGAACAATTTAAGAAAAAAAAAAGCCCAATAAGATCTGGTTTAGGCCTAACTGCCAATGAGCACTGTGATCGTCACACCCAGATCACAATTCAGATACATACTCGCTGCCATATTGATTATCAATATCAACACAAATCCAATGCATGCAATGCATATTTCACCCTCAATTTCATCCATGTACTGTAGTCATAACAGTGACTTGTTGTTTACTTTAATTTCACTAATTTGATATTCTATATTCACTCGGTTTTATAAATTCATGAATATGCCATTAAAACAATCAGTTCTATTGTTAATTTCATTTAATTAGCAGATTTTACTTTAGTGAAAATAACAAAATTAAAAAACAGTGAATAATTATTATGTTTTGCAATATGCTACTTATCTTGAGTTAATAATATTATTAGATTATCAGAAATACCGCAAAGTG